AAAAAATAATATAGGTACCTTTACATGCTTAAATGCTTATATAATGCAAAAATAATCATAAAACTGGTTTCACGCAAATATTAATTTACAGAATAAGAATTAAGGGAATGCGCTGTACATACAAACTCTAATTATATTACCTTGAATTTTAGAATTTAAAATCGACATACTTATATTTCCACACAAGATATGAGCACTAAGATAAGAATTTTTTATAAAAAACGATATGGCAACGAAAAATCATATGTTATTAGTTATATATAATTATAAGTTATAATTTATAAATAATAACGTAATATGACCCATTCTAGTATCTAGTGAGCTATACAATAATACACATCATTAAATTATATCGTATGTCCATGTAATTAAACCAATGGTTTTGGTTTATATCGTGTATTCGTATGTACCTAGTACAATATACCAACCTGCAAAATCATTTATTGTCAACACTATCAGCATCACTCTAAAAGTCTAAAACACTGAATCATGTTATTTACACTCTAAAAGTCTAAATCATATCCATACACAGTGTTGGGGAAGTTAATTAAGTTACTTTTTTTTGGTAATTAAATTACATTACTAATTCCTTTTCAAAATTGTAACTAAATTGCTTTTAAGTTACTTTTTATGGGGGAGTCAAGTTACATTACTTTTGAGTTAAAAAAAGTAACTTAATTATAGTAGAAGTWACTTTTTTTTAAAGTAACATTTTATTATGTCRAATAGTCAATAAGAACAGCTATAAGAAAMATATCACAGTCAATAATATTTTATTTATAAATAAAAATACTAAACACTTATAAGATACTATAATAGCTGAACCCGTGCACTTCGTAGCCCGTTAAAAAGCCTACCTCTTAAATGTCTCAAACTGTGTGTTGAATTCGTTATCTGTGATCATGCTAGCAGTATTTTTTTTYATACCTATAGATTGATACTGGTCAGAATACWCTAAGTAATAATCTTACACTGATAATCARTTTAGTTTATTATTATGTAATTTTATTCGTTTTATCGAAACAAGTCTGACAATATTCAAGTACCTATCCAATTGTATCCAAAATCCATTTGGATACACAATATTTTTTGTTCATCCTTTTGGTGCGCACACAAATAAATCAGAAGATTTCCAGACGTATGAGTATGCCTCATACAGCTKTCCATGTGAGAAGCATGGATTTTCCAAATTCCGTCCACACTCTTGCAGCAATTGTCCTTGTGCTTTGTTAATGATCATTGCAAAGGCGAGTCGCACTGGAAACTGCAAACGTTTGAATTCAAAAGGCATATCTGTTGGAATCATTGGGATGCATGGCAACAGTACATCTTCGCCTTTAAGCTTTCTATTTAAAATTTCAACTTGGATAATGTTGTTCATCAACTTTTTTCTGAAATCCTGGTAGTTGGTACCGTTGCAGAGTCGTGGTGGATTGATGTTTCGTAGAAGAATAGAAGCACGCCAAATTTCAATGTTGGAACGTGCGGTGGCATGTCTGAYGAATCAAGTGAATTTAAAAATTCAGTCCGATAATAATTGAAAACTTTGTCTTGATTCATTACGTACCGATGGCTGGTACGATATTGTGTCGTCTGGAATTTTGTTTAGAATGGTGTTATTTATTGTAGATATTTACACCAATATCACAAATATAGTCCGTGCAATGAGCCACTGACGATTTCCGTATTTTGTGGTGGATTTGGGAAAACTTTGTCAGAATATACAAAATATCAATAAAAACTTGTAATTATGCCGTAGACACACGTGCCATGGAAACAAATTATAAATAACATTTAATGATTTCTAATGAAATTATCTAATTTCTAATGATTTCTTTCGCACTAATAGCAGCCATAAATAAATAAAAATTTCCATCGTAAATCTCACAATGTCTGTTTGAGCACCTACCGAGATTGAGCCTATCACTTTTTTAACTTAGCYTATCTTCTGCCCATAGGTCTAATATATCTCTGTACCAAATTTCGTTGCAATTGTTCCAGCCGTTTAGGAATACATAAAGGACAAACAGACAGAAATCCATTTTTATAAATATGATGATGATATTATATTATAATATTTACATATATATTGRTATGTAATGTAACCTAACCTATATTTAAGAAACTTGTTGGTAATTGGTATGATGTCACTTTTAAATACTGGTATAAATTTGTTGGGTAGTAAAAATATTAATATTGATTTGTTTCAAACTCTTATTAAATTTAAAATGTACATAATATGTTAGTTCATAATATTTAGCAACCTGTTATTTATCGTATTTCTGATTCTGTTATTATTATTCTATTGTTACGAAGACTCACCCAAATCTAAAACAAGTTTACTTACAGGTTGGGTYAAGAAAAAAATATTATATTTAAAATTGCATCTAATATTTCTGAAATGAAGTTATCATTATTATTATAAGTAACTGATTATAATATAAATATTATTTGGTATGATTAATTTCAAGTCTTAACAGTCATATATTTTTAAATTATAACAAATGGACAACTTTTATTYCATTGAAAACTGTTTTAGCAAGTCTACCAAATTATTGCTATGAATGTTCACTTTAAGTTTTGATTTTCTGRCCCTTCTTGAAGTCTATCACCAAAAATCTCCCTCAAAGCATTCAAAGTTKATGATTAAAGCATTTTTTCGCTATATATATTCAAATATTATACACATCATAATACATCATTGTAAAATAAATATATTTATAGCTTTGCTCAGAATCTAAATTTTAATGTAAATAAAAATATATATTGCTATTTTATACCCCAGGTTATTAAGAAGTATATGGCACATTGAAACAGTCAATAGAYCTTGAGGAGAATATAATTTTAATAAAATCATAYTATTTATGCAGGGCAGGGCCAAGGTATTTTGACGGCACGGGCAATTTTTTGAAARGTGCCCTTAATCAAATGCTCCATAATACATTTAATACTTTTTATACTTACCTACATATTTTGTTTAAAATTCTTATATTTATGGATAAGTAAAGGATTGCAAAACTTATTTGGATACAATTTATAGACGTATCGGCTGTAACACATACTTTTTAGTTTTCCMAAGTTAATGATTATAATATATCGCAATGTATATTATTTTTTAATTATTTGTAATATTATAATAATAAAAACTGGAAMGTGGAGTATAATCTATAAAAAAAAWATATATATCAGAATATTCTGTCATAGATAATTTTGTCATTCAGCTATATTATTGTCAATTTGAATAAATATTATGCTAAAATTTATAAAATATTCATATATTAAAAGCGCCCYGGGCATCCRCCCGGTTYGCCCGTATCTTGGGCCGGCACTGTATTTATGTTTTTATAACAATTAAAGGAAATCACAGCAATACAAAGATGTACAATTCAAATCTGTGATATATTTATTAGCAATACTAAACTATTATCTATATTGTATAACACAATTAGGCATTTCATAGGTAATGTTATTTTTACAAAAGATAAAATATGTAATACACAAAACCATTAATGTTTTATAGATGATCAAAAACAACAAATTACTTTCTATACCAACTCTGAGCAAGTGACATTCTTTTAATTTTTTTCTGCAACTGAAGGATACCATACATCAATGCTTCTGCAGTTGGTGGACAACCTAAAGGACATTTAAACATTAAAAATATCATTAACATAATATGCATATTTAGGAATAGAGATTAAAATCAACAAAGTGGACATTAATACTTGTTTTGATTTGATACATTTTCAACAAAATACCAATYGTGTTGCGCAGATTATTATGATAATAAAAAAAAAAGGTTATGATTTGTTCAGAAATTTACAAATCAAGAATTCTATGATATTTATACAAATGCTCTGTGAGGGAATGATTAACTTTCTAGTACAATATAAAACATGAAAATATTGTACTTAACGAAACTTAATTTTTATATCTACTCTTAATGTATATTTAACAACTGCTATAAATATTTGGATAAAAAAATATGAACTATATTTCATCATAGGCTTAAGTATACATTAAGTCGGTTTATGAATTGCATTAAATATTTAGATATGATAACACAACAAGAATACTTTACCTGGTACATAAATATCAACTGGAATGACCCTATCACATCCTCTCACAACTGAATATGAATAATGATAGTAACCACCACCATTTGCACAGCTTCCCATTGAAATAACCCATTTTGGATCAGGCATCTAAAAACATTTAAAAATATTTAATCAATGAAATAATGAAAAATAGTCTTACTTACTTGATCATAAACTCTTCTCAATGCTGGAGCCATTTTGTTTGTCAGTGTTCCCGCGACTATAATAAGATCAGCCTGACGAGGCGATGCACGAAATACAACGCCATATCGATCCATATCGTATCGAGGAGCAGCTATGTGCATCATTTCAACAGCACAACATGCCAATCCAAAAGTCAAAGGCCAGAGAGAGTGCTGAAAACAAATTGTTTTATGAATATTAAGATCAAAACGGATCAAAATATGACAAAAAAAATTGTTTATTATTTAAATACCTTACGGCCCCAATTCAAGACATCGTCTAAACGAGCAACAGCATATTCAGCCATATTGTTTGTCTTTTGAAATGGTGAATATGGACGATATGGTTTTTCTGTAAAAAATTGAAGAAAAAAAATTAAATTTTATTTTAAGAAAAAATGGCACAATAATAATACAAAAAGTATAACAAACCTTCTACATTTGTATCTTGAGATGCTGGTTGAATTTTGGTAGATTCATTTCTGAGACAAATTTGGGTGACAGCAGGATTCTTCAATAGACAATTGATGTTCTTGGAGGCAGAGAAGATTTGACTTGGACGGCCTAAGTTATTAATCAAATAGCATCTATAATGTTAGTTTTAAATAGTAATATTATTAAATATAGTTAATTAATTTGCAGTGTAACCTGTGACTACAATTCTCCRTAGAATAATTATTTAAAATAAAAAAATAGTTTGACTTAGGTACAATACATCTTTTAGTATTCTACTTATTAAAAAATATTGAAAAACAAAATATATATGTAGTTATAACTAGGGATAAGAAGTCATACCACCAGAAAACTAAATTAAATTGCACCATATCACACCATACACAAATTGACATAATAATTTATTATTATTATTACTCACCAATCATCTTCATTTTTTTCCGTGAAACCAACAGATGTAAGAATGCAAATAAACAGACACTGAATTATACTTACAACCTAGCTCTGCAATTAGCAGTAAAGTAACTGGACCAAATTAAAAGCAAAACGAAAAACCGACAAAATGTACGACCTCAATCTCATAAATTCTGTGACTGTGTTATCAATTGTTTGGTCTCGCATTCTCGTCTGACAACAGTTAAACGTAAGCAGCTGACTTGAATACGTGATCCTTCTGGTAACCTCCTTCTCGTTTCCATAGGTCTATGCTCGTATCAGTGGCTACTATCAGCATAGAACAATACCACAGAATATATGAAATATATTTCATAATATATACCTATTCTGTGACAAACTGACAGGTGACAATATTGACAATACCATCAGGCATCAGCGCCATAGCCCATAAGTACTAAAAGAAACGATTATTATTATTCAAACCATGACAAAATAGATCTATTTTGTCATGATTCAAACGATGTAAACAAGATAAATTAAGATATATGTATAAAATTAATATTTTTTAATTTTATAACTGATGTTAAGATATGTATAAAATATGTATCTTCTCTACATCGTGGTTATTTATTATAATTTAGTGTCAGCTAAAGCCAAGATGTTCTTTACTTACATTATTTTAATTTTTTGTATTTTAAAATTAATATTTTCATTTTATAATTGATGTCTAATACTAAAATTATAATGAGTAACCACGATGTGGAGAAAATACGTATATCTTAACATCAGTTTTAAAATAAAAAAATATTAATTTCATTAATAACATCTTGACTTATGCTGTCCCTAAGGGCTAGGAACATGAGGTTATAAGTAATAAAGTTGACACCAGKGGCAGGGGCTGTAAACTTGTGAATGGCATGYGATTTATTTAACACAGGAACAGTGGTAGCCAAAATGGATTAAGCCATTGACATTGAGGATTATACGAATCTAGGACAAAATATCCAAGGACAAAATATCCAACGGCCAAAATATCCAAATTTATCCGTTTTTACGTAAATTAATAGATTACACATTACTTTCGAATAAAATTAACTCAAATATCAAATTATTTAATTATAAAAATATACCTAATATTATATAATAATTATATAAATATAATTAATAATATTATTATTTAATTTAATATATATATATATAATTTTTAAATTTTTAGAAAATAGTGTAGGTAGTCATTTTTTAGCAAATTATTCCTATATATTCATAAAAACAAATTGTTTTACATTTTATTTTATATTATTTGGCTATTTGACTAATGTTTGTGCAGTATATTTTGTGATATTATTATACTAGTAACGTAATTTATATATTTAGGAGTTAATTTTATTAGAAAGTAAAGTGTAGTATACTAATTTACGTAAAATTTGAATATTTTGTCCGTAGATATTTTGACCGATTACCATGATATAAAGCACCAGCAGAGTAGCAGACCGTTTATCATTTATCCCCTGACCAGCGACCCCTCTGTTGAGTGTTGACTGCTACAAGCCTACAGCTGCTACTTCTAAAATTTAATGTCTTAGACTCGATCGGTTACGAGTGTACTACTACATTTTAATTTTTAATATATTATAAATTTATAAACTAAATAGTCGAAATCGTAAACGAATATTTTRTAAAAGTTACGACTAGTACGATACGTGAGTTGTGTTCAATCATACAGGCACGTAGCTAAGGGGTGGCCTGAGGTGGCCCTGCCACCCAAAATGTTTACAGGCCACCCTGATGGCCACCCCATTACATTGAAAAACATTATTTTTATTATTATTCAAATACCCAAGGCTCAAATAATTTGGTTAAAAAATTAAATATATTTTAAAATTTCTATTATCATATTTGTTATTTTTACATAATTGTCTTTCCGAACATAGTGTGACCATAGTGGTCAGATTACCAGGATATCAGAATTCAGAATAGAAATCGTTCATCCATACCCGTCGTATTCGTCGCGGCATGACTTGTTAGTGGGTACCTTATAATCTATAAATATATATTTAATCGCCGAGGTCTAATTAACTATAACAAATAATAACATAGTATATATGTGATATTATATAGTATTTTATTACAACAGCGATCAGCGAATGAGTATGTGACCCGCACAATATTATTAATTATTATTCACTTATAATTTAAACAAGTAATGTTGAAAAGTAACAATAATATTGTGTCTCTAATTCTGTACTATTTTCTTCTTTACCTAGCAATACAACTATTATTCAGTTGACGTTTGAAGACTTGTGTGGTTGTGGTTGTCGCGAATTGTGATCCATGTA